ATTTCATGAAAGAGAAAAAGAAAAGCACAGCCCCACCCCAAATGTCAAAGTGCACTGGCTGGCTGGGAAGCGGAAGTAGTAAAGACAAGGGGAACAACTTAGGCAATGTACGCCCTCCTCCATCTATTATCTACACATTTTAGTAAACAATAATTTGATATTTCTTAAAATAAGCTTTCTGACTTTCAGCTTAATAAGCCTTTCCCTCCTCTTTTTAGTAATTCTATTTTTATGACGAATATCCCCAAAATGTTATACATACTTATGTATGTTTGCAACAAATTCTGAGCACATTCAGCATTCCTGTCTGCTCTCTGTTCTTTGTTTGAGATCTTGTGTAGCATACATGTGTTTGTCTGGGGATAGTGTTGGTTCAAGGGAATTTTCCCATCGTAGGAATATCCATTTCTACTAGGAAGGGTGTTCAGCCCTGTTAAGTACCCTAGAACCTGCAATTATTTTACACTAGATTTCCGCTTATTCTCCTCTATCCTAGGACGTAGGTTCTATGAGGATTAGACACTTTCTATGTGTCTTTTACCCCTAAGGCGGACATCAGTTTCTGGTGCATATTAACAGCCCGGAATTTATTGAATTACACAAAAAGAATAAGGCAAAAATTTTTAGCGTGTTTGAATTTGTTTCTTAAAATTTCCCAGCCATCTTATTATTAATCTTTTATAAACCCCCAAATGACTTGCTGGTGTTTACAGTCTGGAATTGATTTACCGCACGAATTCCTGTGCCCTCGGTGACTTCTGACATCCCAGTCCTCTGCTTGCTTCGCTGGCACTTGCCCTTGAACCGACTTTCCCGTGAGGTTTTTGGATAGCAAACTCATGGTTTTCAAATTCTGAAAGCAATTATCTCCTTTGCTGACAGTTTTGATTTGCTGTTTTCAAGATACCTCTTAACTATTTTATTCCCCGCTTTTAGGAAAACTGTTGTAAGTGGTGTGTTTTCAAGGCCAAATGTATTGGTATTTATTTGGTCTGGGACTTGTATTCTCAGGCAAAGACCATGACATTCTTTGATTCTAGAAAAACTCTCAACCATTTTTTCTTGAAGCAATTACTTAGCTTCCCTGAACTCCTATCCATTTTGTTCTTACGGGGACCTTCTTAAGGCTCGGTCTCTCCCATGTGTCTTCTGATGTCTCTTGGACATCGCCAGCATTTTCTTTGTGTGAGTCACAATCCCCGTGGATTACTAAGCACTACTGTCCTGCTCAGCAGTTGTCACTTTGCTCATGTCCTTCTAGAATCCATTAAGCTCACGGAATTTTTTCTTTTATATCCCAATGATTAGCTAATTCCAGTTTCTTCATGGGTACTGAATATCATTGCTGCTCTATTTCTTTGGCAGGTCTCACCTTCCTCAGCAATATTTCCCTTATGTGCTTAGGGGGTGTGGCTTTGTTGGGACCATATGGAGTCCTGGCCTTCAGCTACTCTTCCCTGCTAGAGCCTTCTGATTAGAGTTACTAAAAGCTGTGCCTTGCCTTGAGGATCAGAGGATAAGGTTTTCCCCTGTTGGCCCACTTGACTGTTGGGTATATAAGCCTCCATGGTGCTATTGAATAAAGGGCTTCTTACCAGTGACTAGAGGTCCATGTCTCTGTCTCTTTGTCTTTCTGTTGGTGTGTGTCATTGTGTGTTTCAACCTCCAGCCCCTTGCCCGAAGCTCGTGAACTGTATGGTAGCGCATAGAGCGCAGATAGGCGTTATGCGCTGCATGGCTTGTCTGCTGATACTGTTTCCTCCTGATACTTTTTCCCCTCCTTTTTTATGTGTAGTTATTGATATCCTGTTCAGTCATTCTGATCCATATATAACCTTTCTTGGTACCGATGAGTTTCTTTGTAGTGGCAACACTGAAGATACTGTGTTGTTGATGTTACTCAGTTTGCTCTGCTTTTTCTGACCATCAAACGTGATATCAGCAATTTCCTAGGGTGTTCAGGGTAGTTATTTACAGAGAAGTCTGCATCAGTGGTCCTGGGCATTGGCTTGGTCCTACTGCCCCAATGAGGCATGACTATTTCCTGGTACCTTGTACAGAGACTCATCTCTTCATATGCCAGCCCTGGCTGCCCTGTCCCTTCCCCTCCACCATCTGTGTCTATACTTTTCAAAACACACTTGATCTTTTTAGAAGTATTTAGAGATTCAAAACAACATTGTGTTTTCTTAAACTATAGAAAATTCCATATTTGCACCTATTTTTACTGCCTTAATTGTTAGGAATCGGCTTTGGGCCTCTCCTTTCTGCATTGTCACCAATTCTAAAATTTATATTGCATTTGTGGTTGTTCAAGAGATAGTTGTTACATCATGTTAGGTGTAATTATGACCTTCCTATCATTTTCACTTTAAAATGAAGCATAGCATAAGGAGATATGATTGTGTCAAGTTGACAAGGTGGGGACATATCATGGCTATTCTTTGTTTTCAGCTTGAATACATCTGGGCATTAAGTGAAATCCAAGTGGATGGGTACACCTGTGTAGGATTTTTTTTCTTAACTACATCATTTGAAGTGGAAAGATCCACTTTTAATGGCATTTTTTTTGAGGTGGGAAGATATACCTTTAATCCAGATCTTTTGGGGTGGGATGATCCACTTTTAATCTGGGCAACACCTTCTGATGGCAGCCAATATAATGGATGTGGAAGAAGGAAGCTGTAACTCTTTCTTTGCCTGCTTGTTCTCCCTCTCACTTGCAAGACCACATCTTCACTGGCATTAGAGCCTATCTTTATTGATGACCAGCTCAAACATACAGCCTCATGGACTGAAAAACTACTGAATTCTTTTTTTTTTGTTATTTATTATGTATACAATATTCTGTCTGTGTGTATGTCTGCAGGCCAGAAGAGGGCACCAGACCTTATTACAGATGGTTGTGAGCTACCATGTGGTTGCCGGGAATTGAACTCAGGACCTTTGGAAGAGCAGGCAATTCTCTTAACCACTGAGACATCTCTCCAGCCCCAACTACTGAATTCTTGGATCTCCCATTGGTAGACAGTCATTGTTGGACTAGCTGGGCTATGTATGGAATAAATTATCATTATATTTATTCTATAATTCATGGAGTATTATTTCTTATTTCCTATGATCTGAAGATCCAAAGTTCAGATATTGGAATCTTAATATTCAAATAATCAGTGTCGGGGAGCCTGACATATAATATTAATTCTAAAAGTTCTGTTTCTCTAGAGAATCCCGACTAATATAATATGCACTAATATAACACCTAGTCCCTCCTACTATCCCTCCACAATAGACTTCTTTCAGTCCTCAATTTGTTTGTATCCCAAAGTTTGTGGCATAGTTAATATTCTTCCGTTACTTCATAAACATTTATTAACGTCTGTAACATTCTAGAAGCCAGAAAGATCAGTGGTAAGGGATGTCCTCTAACAAGTGGCTACTAAATTCACATATGATTGCTAGTGACCTAGAGAAATAATAGGATAAATACTAGGCTCAAGGTGAAGGAAAACATGGAGATTTACAGTGGATGGGTTAGTTCATTTTCTTCTGCTATAACATAATATCATAGACTATGTAATATATAAAGTAGAAATTTGTATCCAAAGGGCTCTAGAGCCTTCCAGGATCAACGGAGTGCCTCTGGTGAGGGCCTGCCTGCTTCATGTGACCATTGTAGAATGCCTTGCATGGTAACAGAGCATGAAATAGGGTGCTTTTCCCCTCAGTGAGAATGCACTTCCTCAGTAATGGCATTAATTCCCTTATAACCCAAACGCACCCCTTAGGCTCTCCTGCCATTGACGATTTGGGTATTAAGATTCCAATTTGAACATAGGTAGACTACAGGGGTTGAGAAAGAACACTGTATGAAGGGAATGAAGGAAGCTTAGTCTGACTGAAGGCTGGAATTCAAATGCTCTGAACAGAGAGTTACAACCCAAGGCATAAACAGGTACCTGGCTGCTCTGCCAGCCAGTCAAGATTATGGATAATGTGAGATGACTTATTTTTATGTATATGACTAGTTTTGAACAAAAATTAATGTGTAGACAATAACCGGTGTCAAGTAAATCTTGATGACAGCAACCAATAGACACTGTGATATTAACATTGATTGCAAACTTGACAGATTCTAAGATCACTTAGACAAACCACTGAGCTCTCCTGTGAGGGAGCTTTTAGACCGGGCTAACTGGGATGGGAACAGCACCCTCAATATGGGCAACAGCCACTGACTGAAGCTCTAGACTGAATAAAAAGAAAATGAGCTCAGGGCAAGCCGCTGTCTTCTTTCATCTTTATTCATGTGACCAACAAAAAGAAGCAATGTGATCAGTTGCCTTATTATGCTTTTGCTACCCGTGACCATATCCCCTTGATATGAGCCAAATCAACACTCTGTAAGTTGCTTTTCTTGGGTATTTATATCAAGGCAAAGAGAAAAAAAATTAACTAATAATTAACTAATACAGCTATCAAGGTAATTCCCACCAGGTTTTGAATGGAGAACCCTGGAAAAGAAGGATGAAATGGGTACATTTTCAAACCAGGCACTATTAGTAGTGTTGACAGTTGAGTCGATGAGAGACTCAAGGAAGGGTGAGATGGAAGCAATGCTTCCTGTTTCTGAAGCTATAGGCTCTGCTCCCTGAGACGGATAACACAGAAGAATAAGGAGTTTGGCGGAATAAGATGGCAAGCTGGGTCTGTTCTTACATATAATACACTTTACAGTATAGTATCCGATTAGAAATGGATACTAGAACACTAGGCCACTTGCTGGAGCTCAGAAAATAAAACCACTGGGTTAAAGAGTTAATATTTTATCCACATTTCTCACTTTATCATGATAGACTTAAGTTTAAGAATCCTACGATGAAGGATACTCATGTTTTTTTTGCCTGTGTGAATGCTTAGACTAACTTATTTCCCACCCGTTCCCTAAAAAAGTTGACCACGATGTTCATTTTCTAAGTATACACACAGGATATGCACCCAAGTGACGCAGAAATATTCTATTATTTATTTTATTTTCATATAAATTAACATTCTAAAAAATTGAAATAGAAACACTAAAATACAGTATTGCACATAGCGATCTTTGTTAAATGCCCTATTACTTCATTGAAGAGTGGTGATATACACATGGGAAGGACTGAGAGATAGGAGAATTACAAAACATCAACAGAAGGAAAGAAAACACTACTGCTCCTTTGCACGTCAAATACAAAGTAAAAGGAAAGAGGTCGTACTTTACATAAATACAAGTATAGCTATGATTTAGAACATTATTTATCTCTTCAAGTTGCTGTTCATAACTGGTTTGCAGTAGCAATAAATTTTCCCCCTTTCTACATCCATAACTTTCAACCAATATTATTAGCAGCAATTTAAAAGAACAACTATTACTGTTATACAAAACTCTCTTAATGTATTATAAGTTGACTTCAAAATCTGCTCCGAAAGAATGGGAAACTCACCTGTTTTCCCTGACAGCAGAGTGAGTAGAATCCTTCCCTAGAACCCTTTGGATGCAGTATGATGCATCCCTACCTCCCAGCTGTAAATCACCTGATGTAATACATGGTCACAGAAATCATGTCAAAATACTCAGGCAGGCATTTCACTTAACAAGGTTCAGATAGATTTGATTCATCTATTATTTATGATAGTTATCAAAAAATAAATCTTACAATTTCATGAGCTTGACTTATTCAAATTTCTTGTGTGTGTGTGTGTGTGTGTGTGTGTGTGTGTGTGTGTGTGTGAAGTATCATAGTGTAAGATACAAAGGAATGTCTTTTGATTTCATTTACCTCTGCTGCAGACCAGTTTTTCAGAGGGTCTTAAGGGACAAAGAGAGCAACTTCAGAGTGGGGACAGCACAGGTCAGGACACACTTACTACTTACTTCTCAAAATAGAAACTGTGTAAGGAGAAGTGAAGTAGCTATAAAGACTTCAGCAGGAATAACATTCACCCACAAGTCTAGTCACAGCGACATGGAGTTCTGGTTTCAGTAGAAGGGAAGATGCTTTTGTTGTGACAAGGGAGAGAACCTCACAAAAGGGAACCATAAGTTAAGGTTTAGTGTGTTCAGAGTTAGTGCTTCCTAGACGTGCTGCTTCGGTCTCCTGGGATAACTCCGGAGCGTTTACAAAAAGAAAAGGGTTCCAATTCTCCACAGGTCTACTGTTTTTGCAATTTTAAAATAACATACAGAAAGATTCGACAATCAGTAAACGTTCTAGAAAACATGGAAGATTATGCAAGAGTCTCCGTGGAACAGTGATCAGAATGGTGTAGCCTCGTTTCCTGCTCGGGTCACGTGGATGCTGTGGATGTCGTTTCGATGACTTGCTTTGTTCTGCTGTTCTAGCTCAGGTTTTCATGCTTATCTTTGCTTTCTGAAAACAAATACACCAGGTAGGGTTAAAAAATAAAAAAGAAAGGAGTTTAGAGCAGCCCAAACAAGGTTTTTATTTTGGTTAAATTCTCTGGATAAAGGTGAAAGATCAATTAATTCAAGAAACTTTACACACATTACATCTGTTCCATCTTAAAATAGTTTTCATCGAAACAAATTACCAAATGCTTTTAAGAAAATAAGTCTTTAAAGTTTAACTTGTAATGTATGTGAAGTGGGGTTGTCCCAACCCTGTCATTCCAGATCCTACATGCAAAGGCATGAATACAGAAGCAGAGCCAGTGGACTGGTCCATGGTTGACAGGATTCAATTCTCTTCCATTTACAGCATAACCAGTATTAGCTAATAATCATTCCTCTTATTCTATATAGATGTACTGAGCTTTGGTCAGAGAACAGCAAAGACAATTTTATCACTAGATAAGACTAATTTTGATACAGAAAAACTGACAGAAAAATAAATTTTATCTGAAGATAGAACTCTTTTCCAAACAGGGCTATTTAACCTAGGCAGTTTGAGTTATCTTGACTGTCCATTCCATTTAGATTATGTTATACTACTCTAATTCAAAATGTTTTGATTTGGGATGTAGAGAGCTCAGCAGTTAAGACCTTCACTGCTTTTGTAGAAGCCCAGAGTTCAGTTCCCAGAACCTTTGCCAAGCAGCTCACAGTCTTGATACTCCAGGTCTAGAGGCTCTAAAGTCCTTCTCTTACTGCCTCAGGGACTTGCATCCACACGCAGATACCAATTAAAACTGTAATAATTAAATACCATCAATACCATAAATTATTAAAAATAAAAATAAATCTCAAAATAATTTTATTTGATGCCCCAAATTTTCATTTAAACTGACATTTTTACTTACCCTGCCAACAGGGGTTGTAGGGTACCTTCAAATCCTTCAAAACTTCTACAGTATCAGAAGGGAGAATTTGCCTTTGTAACCAACATTTCTCTCAGAGGGTACACAACTTGGTGTTTTCTTGTAATGGAGGACTTGGCCAGGGAGGAATCTTAGCTTAACCTTCTAGCTAAGTCTCTGGGCCACAGACTCCAAACAGCCTTCTTGAGAGTATATATCATTTCCTATTTGAGCTTTATGCAGCAAATCTCATATTAGTCACTCAGAGTTAAAGTGCATCGATAGCCTGTGACTCATGTGCTATGAAAAAGTACAGGCTATCTCCTGCCCAAGCAGTGAACAATGGGCCTCATATATGTTCATGCTCACATTTATCTTAATTATCAAATTTCAAATATCCAACTTTGAGACTAACTCCACTACAAAGGCCTGATTAAAGACATAAAGAAAAGAGACTGTTGGAATTAAAAGCTCATTGTTTATCCAAACATAGGATAAAATGGCTGAGATATTATTGTATAAATTTGTGTATAGTGTAAAGACAGGGTTCAATAGCAATGACATCACAAGCCCAAAACAAGAATAGTCAAATACTTACAATCCCAGAGTCGTGTCTTGGTTTTACTTTGTAGAGTGCTTTTCCTTTCTTCTGTCTACACACTTCCTCAGCTTCTTTAACTCTAAGTGGGGAAGAAGAGAGTTTATTTAAACAGGAGTCCACAATGACCACAGAAACTTACTTTATAACAAGGGGCAAGCTTCAACTCATTAAGGAATTGAATTATTGTAAAACACACGCAGGAATGCCTCCTCAGATTTAATTTTAAAATAGAAACTGTTAGAGGTAGAGCAGATCACTCATGTGGGGCTGAGGATCCTAAGATGGGGTATGTTACATAAATACAAAAGGGATCAATTACTGTATAACTCAGAGACATTTGCATAATTAAGAATGATCATGCAACTATTTACAAGAAGATTTAAGATGACAGGTTCATTATCTTTCTACCAAACTCACCTACATATAAAAGACATTTGGAATAAACTTCTGGGCAGTTTCAATAATTTAACTTCATCAAGCATGGAAGCAATTATCATTTAATTGATACAACAAAAAACAACTGCACCGTGTTCAACCCTTCTCATTGCTTTACGAGATAGGGTCTCACATGGAACTTAGGTTGCTGCAGCCTCCTAAGTGCTGGGATTACAGGGATGCACAACCATTCCAAGTAACATTGTTAACATATTTATGATTTCTTTGTGCATTTGTGGATAACATTCCAAGGAAAAATGCACTGCGGCCATGAGAAGCACTACCTAGAAGGCAGCACTGTTCAGAGATGAATTTTGCATTAATCGACCTTGCTATAGAAAACTGCCAATGTCCTATCTCCTCTAATCTAGGGACCCTCTTAAATAACAAAAGGACATGGTCACCAAAGTATTACATATGATTACAGTAAAGTTTCTTCCAGTGCTAAAGACTATTTTGCTAAATCATTTCTTTATAAATTGCAATATATTATAAAAAATCATGACTGCTTTTACTGAAGGAATCACCATAAGCCTGGAAGGTAGGACTCCATTAATAAAAAAGGGGCACAACAAGAAATAAAATGATCTATCAGAGTCATTTATTTATTTCTTACTCTTAGTGATTTTTTCCCTTAACAATAAAATTAACTAAAACCTCAAGTATGTCAGGAGAAACTGAACAGGCCGTTGTTTCATCTTAAGGAAATATACCTTATGTTGATTAAATTTCTTGAAAGAAAAAAATCTTGAATATGTTTCTTGGGCCCTGTGGCAAACGTTCCAATGACAGAATTTATTTCCTGTGTAATTGATTAAACCTTCCTTAAACGATAGAATGACCCACTGATCCAGGCAGGCATCTCAAGCCTTTTGTAAAAGTAATTCCTTTCGGATACAAATGCTGCTGGTTGGGTAGACAGTAATTCCAGAAACTGGGGACAGTTTAGACACTGCATTGTTACCACATTTATTACTTCCCTACCAAGCCATAAATTCCCTTTAATCCCTCCCTAAACATCTGAAGACAAAAACATTCTCTCTATAACAAACTAAGGATTTTAGAGTCACCATCTTCCTCTGAAATAGCTGCCAGTAAATTTAAGCTTGAAGTATTTGGATAGGGAATTAAGGAAACTTTTTTTTCTTCTCCTTTTTTATTTTTTTTTTTAGCACTTAGTCAAAATCCAGTAGATCCCCTTTTAAATTTGCTTGGAGTTCTTTAAAACATTTCATAACATGAAAAAAAAATGTACTTCACGAGTATTTAGATCCCCAAAGCATCCTGGTGTTTGCTCTGCTCTATTTGCAGCAGTCTCGGGACATATCTTGGTTAGGATCACAGGAAGCTGATTTTAATACAAACATATTTAATTTTACATGAAAGAAAGTCCAGTCATTCCTTATGGTAGAACCCATGAAAACCGGAGAGAGTGTGCGTCAAGGTGGCGTCACGGGATCTTTTAGCTCATTTATTCATTTGACAATCATTAGTGGAGCAGAAACTCTTGGTCAGGTCCTGGTCCAGCTCAGGTTGACATGGACAGTTCAGCTCAACATCTCTAGGCCAGAGGCATCCAAGAGCAGAAGCAAGCAATGACAGGCTGCGCTATGGGCGGCTCCCTGCGTCTGTATAAAATCCCAGAGGGGGCTTCTGCAATTAGTATTCAGGGCTTATAAAAAACCACCCACGAGCATTTTGAGGGTTGAATCTGATTTTCAAACAACCAAGAAAGCTCAACTGTTCATATTTTTAGAAAGAGAAACTGTTACCAAGGGTGAAAGAAAATAAATATGATACATAAAATCACACATACAATGGTGGAGAAAGAGCCAAGAAATACCATGCTGCACTTTAAAAAAAAATGAGTAGTTTGTTCTTCTCCTGCCGCAGGGTCCCTACGAGACAAATGTTCCAAGTGCTTTCTGACCTATGCCTTAGTGTCTGTGTGTCCGTCATCTCCTAGGCACATTGAGAAACGTGTACGTGAGAAAATTAAGGAGCTGGAGAACTGAGCACCAGGATAAGTGGACTGCTGTTCTACTTTGTACTTGTTCCATGGAGAATCTGCTTTAATGCAAGTCCCCAGGCCCACCTATATTTTTTGGACTGAGTCCCTCTGGTCCAAAGACAACATCTGGGGAAATAAAACACAGACAGCCAATGAGTACCCCTTTGAGAAACAGTACTCTCTAACTAGGGTCTAAAACCTATGCCTAGACTCTCTTAACAGGACGGCAATGCCTTCTCATCCCTCTCCTCCAACAGAGCACCACTGAACATGCTCCCCTCCATTCTGAGTAACTACTGCTCCTTCTGAGCGCCAACCACATTTCAGTATAAGTCCCATACCAAGACTTTCCCGTCACACTTGAGACTGGAAAAAGGAATACGGCCCTGGAGTTCAGGTTTATTGTCAGGAATGGAAGTAAAGAAAAAAGAAAAGGATGAAGGAAGAAAGGAAGGCAGAGAGGAAGGAATGAAGAAAGAGAGGAAGAACCCAAGAAAGGAGGAAAGGAAGAATCGAAGGAAGGATGAATTGAATGTTCCTGAGTTGGTAGTGTGCTTGCCTGGCATGCACCAAGCACAGGGGCTGATCCTCACCAGGCACAGTGGTGCACACCTATAATCTCAGCATTCGGGAGGTAAAGGCAGAAGGATCAAAAGTCCAGCCCAAGGTCATTCTAGACTGCATATTTAGTCAATCTGTGACACATGACAGCTAACTTCTAAGAAATTAAAAACAAAAGAAATGCAAGAAGGGAGAGAAAAGAAAAGAGAAAAAGCAAAGCAAAGAAAGTGAGACAGAAATAAAGACGGGGAAGAAAAAGCGGGTGAGGAGCAGCCCAAGCCAGCTCTCTAGGTCAGTATCTTCCCAGCTGAGCTATCATGGCAGATTTTGTTACCTGTCAGTTTAGGTCTAGGGTGTAATTGCTGGAGGCCTTTCATCTCCTCCCTCTCTCTAGCCCTCTCCCCTCACTCAGTGAAGCCAAACATTTCTAAAGTGATTAGAAAAAAAGATGCTAAGAAGAAACATTTCAAGCAATACATTAAAAACACCAACTTCAACATTGTACTAATTGGGAAAAGGGGGAACAAAATAAGAGACAGCATTTTGTTTACAGAAGGCAGTCACTAAGAACAGAGAAGGGATGGCGAGAGGAAACACTGGTTGGGGGAGGGCAGTGGTCCACTGCTTCCATACATAGTCTACAATGGAGTTCAACCTTTCGCTACCTCTTTGTTGAAATGGGATAACAGTTTTGAAGAATCTATGAATATTATGAAGAAGCACAGACAGCTCTATGCATGATTAATGAAGATCTGCTCTTTTAAACATGGTTCCAGTCACAGAAATAGGAACATGAACTGCCAGGACATTTGTTAATGGAGATTTCACTCTCTTAATGAACTAAAAAAGGGAGGTAAAGATATTAGGATGGAATCCATGACTGACAGGCTAATTTTAACCATCATGACATTCCATCATCAATGTGGAGAGTAGAAAGAAAATGCATGTAGATCTAATCGCAGGATAAAAAATAGAAAGTCCTCATTCATCATTTTTAGTGATTTCAGAAAAAAACAAAAAATAGCAGAAGAAGTAGACACCAGAAAACAGGAAATGGGGCATTATCTTTTAAGAGGAAGAAGGGATATTAGATGGTAGATAATGGCTGTAAAATTTAATGTTAATATTTTCCTGTAACCGCTGTCCATGAAGCTTCAGAAACAAAGGAAACTATCCATCTCTGCATAAAAGCTCAAAGTCCATACTTATTCCTTAATGGGAGAGCCAGAAGTTGTCAAAGAAGCGGGTGTTCTCTATCCTTTAAGAGAATAGTTGATTACAGCTAGCAATCAAAAGACATACGGAATCATGTTTGGCAAAGAGTAGGTGGTTACCAATGAGTAAAATGAGTTTTGCTATTTTTTTTTTTTTGCTTAAAGCTGAAGAGATAAGGAGGGGAAGTGGAGAAAGGGAACACACACAGAGACAGAGACAGATGGACAGAGACAGAGTGAGACTGAGTGAGCTATACTGGTGGCATCCTATATTCAGCACTAGCCACATCCCTGCTGTGATGTCTCAGTAGAGAGCCACTCTCCAGAGCCCTCCTAAGATATACAAGGTACTCAGGATTTCTGTACTGTGCCTAACTGTGTACAAATTGCATATTTTCTGTTTCTTCCCAAGATGAAGAACTCCAAACTCTCCTCACTAGAGCCAGAAAGCCTGTGTTGGGCTTTACTATGTCTATCCTCTTTAGCAGAGACAGCCAGATAGCTAAGCTAGCTCAAATGGCAACATCAATTATAATCAAGAGTAATTCCTGGACCTACAGGAAGCCTTCCGAGCTCCTCCTCATCCCCGTCTCCCACATTCAAGGCATATGGCTAGGTCTGAGAGGGTGGGGGAGTCAGGAGACTGACGTGTGGATGGCATCCAAACTCTGCATTTTGAAGAGGAAACACTTCTAAGGTACTGCAAAGCTAGACTATGTTGTATCATGCAAACTGCTTGTTCATGGCAAAACCCTAAACACAAGTTCCTTAAGGTAAAGATAGGAGGAGATAGTTTGTGTTTGCATGCATGTGTATTTGTGGTATATGTATGTGCTTGTGCAGCCATGTGCATGTATG